AAAAATTCATGAAATCTTATTTTCTAAAAATTCTAATCCCGTGATTGACGCGGGTCAAAATCTAATACAATCAGTATTTGGAATGAACTACATTATTCAATGTTTTACAAGAACCATATACATGCAAGATAAATATTTACTTTAAAATGTAGAATAGATAAAAAAAAATATTTCTCATATTTATTTGACTTTCTTAAGTAGGAAAAATATCCCTAAGAATACAAATATGCGGGTTAATGAATTATTCATGGTAGGTATAATAGTAATAACGTTAGCAAAATATACGAAAATTTGGATTTCTTTCACTCTGACCAAAAGAAAAAGTTTTATCTATTTGAGTATATGACTATATCTAATAGAACCATAAATTTTCTATACTGAACAATAGAAGCTTCACGTTTAAGTGAAAGCTAGAAATCACCAGAGACCTGTGAACTAGAAGACGGTAATGGCTGCTGCGTCGAGGCGGTTTCCAGGTAAACCGCGGCTATAAGCTTCTCTTTCGTCAATGGATCCGACCCGTTATTAGACTTGATCACAAAAGTGTGAAACATTGTGTCTTCAGCTAAAGATAACTTAGACTCCATTACACTAACTCCTGAGTTTCTCATTGCTTGTATGATTCTTGAAGCTGGATGTGAATCTAACGGTGAGGTTACTCTTACTACAACCTCTTCGTTAATGGTTTGAATGTCGATTTCTGGACTTTCGACGGTTCTTGTTGTTGTCGTTTGGTTTGATTCCGATAAGCTGCACTCTGTTCTGCCTCTTTCAGATTCCATCATCTTTACTTTCTCTTGAAGCTCTTTGATGTAAGAAATCGCGTCTCCAAGTAGAGAAGCTTTGTCCATTTTAGAAATGTTTGGTACAACTGCGCGTAAAGCGTAGAATCTCTGGTTAAGCTTCTCGCGTCTCTGTCTCTCGGCTTCTACATGGTTTAATGGCTCTTCTCTTCCATTTGCTGGCTTTCTTCCTCGCTTTCTCGGTCTCTTCTCATCAACAACAGAAACTGT